GCTCCCACACTCTCCTCACAGTCTCACTCTCAAGGAAAAGATGAGTGAAAGTCTCGATCTCAAAGGTACCGGTCTCAGCACAACAATGGCAGCGGGAGGGGAAGGAGAACTCTCTCGCCTGCATCACAGTGTCAATGGGAATGCGCCGTAAGAGGAGGCGCCACAGAAAAAGGGAAATGGTCGGGGTGAGAAAGTCGGTCCATATGGCCCCGAAAAGGCGGTTTGGCCGGTTGCCCAGCCTCACTTCTCCCCAGGCTGAAGACGTAGAGAATGCACCCGAAGATGTAAGTCTCCACCTCATGCCATCCAAACCTCCCTCCAGAATGGGAATCTGTCGGTTCTGGTCAATCTCAAGACTACTAAAACCCCCTCCCCCACCAAGAATATCCTCCATCCTATCTCTATCACAAAAACCTCCCGTCCAAAGGTCCTTCACCTGCATGAAAGGCAGGTGAGTGACTGGCCTAGTACTCGAGAGAGGGGCCTCGCCGAACCACCACTCATCCCAGAAGCTAACCTCCCCAGAACCCAAGGTCCAAAAGATGTGCTCCTGAGCACGTCTGCCAACATGGTGAGACGTCTCCACTGTCGACTATCCCGAGCGGTGGTTGTCACCCTGCAGGGATGAGCAGCACCACCAGGGCAGTATTTCCTCTGGAGATATTGGGCCCATAGGGACTTGCCCTCCCTAAGGCGCCACCACATCCTGTAGGAAAACGCAGTAACCATATCAGAGAAACGCCGAACCCCGAGCCCACCCTCAGAGTGGGGACGACAGATGGAGTCCCACTTTACCCAGTGGGTCTGCCGCCGACCTCGCGGGCCCTCGTCATAGCTCCAAAAATAGCGAGCTAAGATCTGATCTAACTCATGAATCGTAGACTGATGGGGGTCAAGCACTGCGAGAAGGTGAAGAGGAAGGGCACAGAGAGTGCTCTTGATCAGAGCAAGTCGGCCGCCGAAGGATAGGGGTCTATGGGACCAGCCAGAAATCCGGTCAATCATCCTCTGACGGACGTCAATAAAAAGCTCATGGGAAAGATGACCTTTGTACAAGGGGGCCCCAAGGTAAGGGATGGGTAAGTCCCCACGAGCAAATCCAGTGCGCTCGTGGATCTGGTGGGCCCAATGGTCTGCAACGTGGTGGTCCATGATAAAGGTACTCTTACTAACACTGACTAGCTGACCAGATGTCTCACTGTAGTGGTCCAAAAGACTCATGAGAGCAACTAGCCCATTATCATTCGCACGAGTGAAAATGATAATGTCATCCGCGTATGAAAGGTGGGAAATGGAAGGCCCACAGCCACGCGTGCTGTAGGTCATCCTCGGAAAATCGCGAATGAAACCGTCAAGGCAGCGAGAGAGATAGTCAGCC